TGGGCGCCTGGGTGGCTCAGATGGTTAAGCGTCTGCCTTCGGCTCAGGTCATGATCCCAGGGTCCTGGGATCGAGTCCCGCATTGGGTTCCCTGCTCCTTGGGAGCCTGCTTCTCCCTCTGCTTCTCTCTCTCTCTCTCTCCGTCTCTCATGAATAAATAAATAAAATCTTTAAAAAAAATAAAATAAAATCTTAAAAAATATACATATGGTAGACTATTCTAGATTAAAAGAGATGAACGAGGTATAACAACTCAATGCAATGCATGAATATTGACTGAATCTTGGATAGAAAAATGCTTTATAGACATAAAAGATATTTGGGGACAATGTGAATATGAACTCTTTATTAACTAATAGCATGGAATTGGTGTTAATTTTTGTAGGTGTGATAACAGTAACATAACAATATAGGACATGTCCTCAGTCTTGGGAGATGCATGCCGAAGAACTTGGGTGTGAAGAGTCATGAGGTTTATACTTATTTTCAAATGGATCAGCAAAAACAAACAAACCACCCAACAAACAAGCAAATAAAGCCAACCAGTGCTTGTGTGTGTGTGTGTGTGTGTGTGTGTGTAAAGAGATAAAGCAAATGTTAACGATTGGTGAATCTAAGTGCAGTGTATAGGGAGTTCATTGTATTAGTCTTCAACATTTTCAAAATAAAAAGTTAGGAGAAAAAAATGCCCCAGGACTCTTTCCCCCTCTTTTTCTGCTTTATTTTTCATCATAGCACTTTTCACTCTCTGACATTTACTTATTTTTTTTTAAAGATTTTATTTATTTATTCATGAGAGACAGAGAGAGAGAGAGAGAGGCAGAGGGAGAAGCAGGCTCCCAAGGAGCAGGGAGCCCGATGTGGGACTCGATCCCAGGACCCTGGGATCATGACCTGAGCCGAAGGCAGACGCTTAACCATCTGAGCCACCCAGGCGCCCTGACATTTACTTATTCACTTGCTTGTTTTCGGTTTCCCCATGAAAGAATGTAAGATCTACAAGGGTAGAGATTTTTGTCTGTATTGTTTACTACTTGGTTCTCGGTGCCTAGGGGGAATGCCTCGTAAGCGTTGAGCAAAGAGTGTGTGAATGGATGGATGGATGGATGGATGAAAGGAACGGTGATGTGCCCACAGGACCAAGCAGGAATGAGACTGGATGGAGGTGACCAGATATATCTCCCCTGTGGTGGTGGTGGTGGTGTGTGTGTGTGGAGATGTGTGTGTGTGTGTGTGTGTGTGTGTGTGTGTGTGGAGGTGGGGAGGTAGGGTGCTGTGCATTTTGGTACACAAACTCAGCCTGATCAGAGTTTTTAGATTAATTGGACATTCTGATTTGTAAAATGGGAAGCACCTTAGTTTTTATCTATTGGCTACCTCTTCAAAAGGTCTATGAACTACTGTGTAGTAGCAGACCACTAGTTTGCAGTTTGTGCATACGAATCCCTGAAAAGCTGCTTTGGACTCTGGAGTCACTTGCTCACGTTCGAAATCCTGGCTCCACCACTAATGCTGAGCAAGGGACCTAACCTCTTTGAGACTCAGTTTTCTCATCTATAACATCCATCCCTCCTCCACAGAATTATTGTGAAGGCTAACTGAGATCATTCACGAAATGATGAGCTTGATTGAGGGGCTAGTGCCCCTTAGTTATGTTTCTGCTTGGCCCTTATGGGCATGTCATCATCCATTTATTCAAACAAGCAACATTTGCTGAGAACCTACTATGTGCAAAGCATAGGGTGCCATGTGAGTGTGCAGGTAATATGTGCTCATAGTAGATACTCAAGAAATGGTTGTTGTCATTGTTACCTCCATGGGCAGACCTGGATTTAAATCTCATATCTGTGGTACAGTTGCTTTGCAAAATAGTCTGACAATTCTTCCAAAGGTTAGACATATCCCAATTCCATCCATAGATATATACTCCAAAGAACTGAAAACCATACCCACACATATGTTCATAGCAGCATTCTTCATAATAGCTAAAAAGTAGAAACAACCCAAATGACTATCAACTGATAGACAAAGTGTGGTATATCCGTACAGTGGAATATTATTTGGCCATAAAAAGGAATTAAGTTTTGATATATGTTACAATACAGATTAATCTTGAAAACAGTATGCTAAGGGAAAGAAGCCAGACACAAAAGGCCATGTATTATGTCATTCAATTTATATAAAACATCCAGAATAGGCAAATCCATAAACACCAAAAGTAGGTTAGTGGTTGGGACAGGGAGGGGGAGCTGGGAGAATGGACAGTGACTGCCAAAGAGGATGGGGCTTCTTTTTGGAGTGATGAAAACGTTTTGGAATTACATTAGGTGATCAATGCACAACCTTGTGAATATACTAAACACCACTAAATGGTATACTTTAAAATGGTGAACTGTACAGTATGTGAATTATACCTCAACTTATATATTAAAAAAAATCATCAGAAAAAAGTCTGACAGGTCAAGAGGATAGAACAGAATGCATGAAACCAGACCTAAGAGTCAAGAGGTATTCAGTATGATACAGCATTTCAGAGGGAAAAAGGAAGGATGAAGTAACTGTTCACCAAGAAATGGTAAGAGCAAATGCCTTCACTTTTCTGCACCTCGTTTCCTCTCCTCCAACATGGACGTAACCACAGCTACTCCATACAACCATTGGGAATAGTCAATGACTGGAGTGGCAAATGGTTAACTGTCTTCATGATAGGCCCAGGTGGTAGACCCACAGCATCTTAGAGAGATCACAGGTGCAGTTTCATAGAATCCTGGAGTGCCAGGATGTCAGTCAGAACAGTAGAATCTTAGAATAATGTACGTCGAGAATCTTGAAATTACAGAGCCGTAGAATTGTAGGAGTTTTAGGGCCAGAAAGACCTCAGAGAACATCTGTCCCCGTGATTTGCAAGTCTGTGGAGATTTGCAAATAGTAACGGTATAATAATAATTATACAGCTAACAGTCTTTCCATTTGCCAGACACTTTGGTAAACACTTTCATATAGTCACTTAATCTCTACAACAACCCTACAAGAATAGGCAGGCACTTTTATTATCGAATTTTATGGCCTGGAAAGCAGAGGCAAGAGAGGTTAAGAAACTTGCTCAAGGTCACACAGATAGTAAGTAATAGAGCCAGGATCTGATCCCAGTCAAGAATCTGTGTTCAGATTCCCAAGCCTTCACTCCAGAAATTCTGATTCAGTGGCTCTGGGCTGGGACCCAGGAATCTGCATTCTAAGCTACCTAGATGATTCAGATACCAGCCAGGACTGAGAACCACCAGTCTAGCCCAGAGGTGGCAAATTGGTGGTCCTCAGGCCACAGGCAGCCCACAGCCACACAGTGGTTTTAAGATTGAGCCAACCTTTAAAAATCAGTTGATGTCAAATATTTCTGGCTTCTTCTGAAAAATTTGTAAGATGTGGCAACACTTTGTCTACATTCCCAAAGGGCAAGAATTGAGTCGAGTTGAGTAGCAGCTGCCCCCTTAAGGGATGGCATTATATCTCTCTGATGAGGCCAGAGTCCCCAATTCTTTATGTTCCCTTGCTGAATCTTGGAGGCATTTCAATTTATAATCCCTGATTTGGCCCAGCTTCCACACTGTAAAGAAAGGAAACTGAGGCTTACAGAAGGGAAAGGAACCTAGAGTAACACAGCAAGTCCAATGTAGAAAGAGAGTAGACCCGTCTCCTGACTTAAAAATCCCATAATAATATCAGCAGCTAACATTTTTTGAGAACTTTCTATGAATTAGGCATACATGCTAAGTCCTTTTTCAACATCAGTGAACACTGATCACTGCCCTTAAGTAGGTGCCATAATGAATCTCATTTTGCTGATGAGAAAGATGAGGCATGGAGAAATCAAGTCACTTGTTCAAGGTCACACAGGTCTAAAGAAGTATGTTATCAGAGTAAGATTCAACTCAACATCTGACTCCAGAGCCTGAGCCTTCAGCCATTATCTTTCATTCTTTAGAGCCCCCTAAGTAATAAATAAGGAGAGGAAAAATCCTGGTTCTATAACCTTTCAATTCCACTATCTCAGAGTTCCTGTGGATTAGGGGGTGGGGTGGAAGGATCAGGCACAGATGGTGCTGACCCCATTTTCCCTGAAACATGTGCAAACCCTTCATGAACTCTGAGCCCTTTGTGGCAGCGACCAAAGTAGAGGGAAGAGGCAATATCCTTGCCACCGTGTAAATGGTGTGGCCTGCTGGTGGGAAGGGATTCGGGAGAGACCTGGCAGAGCCTCTTCAGCACCAAGGACAGCAGCCGTGCTCCAAGCTCCAAGCTCCAAGCCCCAAGCTCGAAGTCTTTTTTGGGAATAATTCGCTTGGCAGCATTCTTCCAGGGCTTTCCGCCCACCGTTTCCCCAGGAGCTTGGGGGAACTCAGGTCCATGGTTTCTCCCATCTCAGGGTAACAAGAATTCCAGATTCCTTTTACCGAGGGTCTCTCTCTCGTCTTTGCTTCTAGGCAGACGATAAGGAGCCCTCACAAGTGGCCTGTCCTCCTGCCAGGGGCTCTGGCCCCTCTGCATCTTGTGTGCAAGTATATGGGAGTGGGGAAGGGGAGAGAAAACGGGGAGTGTGCGCAGCTCCGCTCCCCTCCCCTCCACCTCCTACCCATCCAGGGCCACGCCAGGGGCTTTGCAGCAAGCCCACCTGCCCGGTGAGCACCGTGGTCATGGCAACCAGAGAGGCCAGGGTAGTGATTGGTCCGCTCCCTGCCACGCCCCTACGCCACCGCTTCCCCGTAACTGAGGCAACCAAGAGGCGCTGCCCTCCTTCCATCCCTCCTAGAGAGGGCTGTGTAGGAGAGGGACCTGCCCCCTCTCTCTCGCTAGCAAAACACCCATTTCTCCAAAATGGTGACTTACCCCATACCATAATTAATGGAGAGAGGGAGTATGAGGCCATTTCTAAACTCTTCTGGATGTGGATGGGTTGTCAATGAAGTCACTTCCGGTGAGAACAGGAAGTGGGAGGCAGGTTGCTCTGGGAGACGATGGGATGAGGTGGAAGGAAGGAGAGGAGAGGGTCTAGAGAATCCCAGGAAGGAGGGATGGGGGGGTGCTGGGACAAATTCTCCCAGACCTTCACTCTCTCTCTGCGTCAAGCCCACTCTAAGAGGTTTGGAGTCCCTAGGCTGACTCCCTAATAATACAACTGCTAGCATGTATTTGATTGACAAACGTCTTATCGGCGTTATCCCATTCCATTCCCACAGTAATCCAGTGATATGGGAGAAGTGTCTTCTCCCGAACCTCACCGGCTTTACAGAAACCCAGTCTTTGCCCCTGCTGACCTGCTTGGCTCTGTCGGGGTTCATCGTGGTTTGGGGTTGAAGGATGTTGACCACCTCAGGCTTAGTCATTGCTTGTGGGATTTCTCGGACCTTCTCAGCAATAAAGCTGTGCACAGCATTCAAGGCCTCTGCTGTGCCCTGTACCAGGCATACTCGTTCTGTGGTTCCTGTTGAGCAAGGGAGAGAGAGGGCACCCTCATCACACAGGAATGGGAAGATTCCTGGGAGACAGGCCCCATTTAATGGAAAGAAAAAACCTAAATCTAGAAAGTGGACCTAACTGGGCCCAGGTCACATGGGTAAGCCTGGGGAAGCTGGCATGGACTCCCAGGCCATGATGGGTAGCTGGGAAAGTGAGTGGAATGCCTGTTTTATAATCTGCACTCCATGTCCCTCCCCCAAAACAACCCCAGGGGATGGAAGAATGATACTTAAGTGCTTTGCGATGCCCACAGCAGCCCTGGGCAGGGGAGACAGGGCTCAGCTGCCTCTTCCCAGTCCTTGCTGGCTCCCGGTTGCTCTGGCAACCATTCACTCACTCCCCCCCCCCCCCCCCGCCCAGAAGCTGAGAGCTCAGGCCTGCAACGGTTGCCACAGTAACTGGAACCCCCTTATCGGTCTGGCTGGCCGGGTCCTCAGCCCACCCCCAGGGGGACGAGGGACGAAGCCCCGTTGCCGTGGCAACCCCTGAAAGCCTGCAGCGAAGGCCTCTGGGCTTTTGGAGAGGATGGGGAAGGGCTGGGGGATGGGGGAGACAGAAGAGAGGCCAGAGTGCCCGCCTGGACCCACCAGATGGAGGGCTGAAGGGTGGGGGAGGGCAAGGGTATGGACAGGAGAGAGCAGAGACAACTCATGGAAGGGTAGGGACTCAGGGATGGAGAAAGGAGGGTGAGGTGGATGCCTTTGCTGGAGATTGTCTAGATTTTGGCTGCGGTTCTAACCTAAGCATCCTCACTCTGTGTGTGTGTGTGTGTGTGTGTGTGTGTGTACACACTAGAGGTAGGGAGGCAGTGGGGAGAAGAGAAGCCAACTCTGGGTGATGTTGGGATATATGTGTGTGGGACAGAGACTCTGGGTGACACTCTGACCAGTGCGACTATATCTGTGAGGCTGTTTGGGTGAGTGGTGCGTGTGTGTGTGTATGTGCATGCATGCGTGTCCATGCATGTGTATACCTGGGCTGGACTGGTTAAATTATCTTTATCTGTGTATGTGTATAAGAGAAAGAGTGGGAGAGACTGAGATGTCAACAGACAGTGTGACACAATGAATCCAGTAAAGATACGTGCACTCTTGCACATGGGAAAGACTTTGGGTGTCACTGTGATGTTCAAGGTTATGGATATACAGTTTGTGAGACCGAACTGCTTGTCCAGGAGAGTTTGAGAGAAAGAAACAAAGAGTCTCATGGAAGCAGCACTGGGGCTGCATGATGAATGACTATCACTTTGAGACTGGATGTCAGCGTGAGTGTTGGCAGCAAAGAGACAACCAGACACCTTTCGGTGTTCAAAAGACTATTTGGATGACTGGTGTGTGGTATGTATGTATATGTGCGTGAGCCTGTGCGTAGGAGACAGACAGACAAGACTCTATCATTGGTGTGTGTCAGTGCGAGCAAGAGTGAGAGAGAGACTGACAGGCAGACTCAAGTGTCAGTATGACGGGAGGACTGGGGTGTGTGTGTGTGTGTGTGTGTGTATCTGGGTGTATATGCATTACAGCCGGACAAAGACAGCTCTACCGTGACTAGTGGTGTGACAGGGTGTGTGCCCGGCTGAGCTGCACATGTTTGGTGCATGGAGTGGGTGTCCGTCTCTCTCTCTGGGTAGGACTGTCTGCAGGGACCAGTTAGCTCCTGGGTCTGTGAAAGGTCTTGAGTGTGCGCCAGGTTTCATGTGCCTGAGTGTCTGGGACATTTGGGGGTGAGGGTCCAGTCTCCTGTGGGCATTCCAGCGCAGCATGATGGTGCCACCATCCTGACCCCTCGCTGGCCATCTCTCAGCCTGGCATGCCAGTCTCACCATGTGTCCGGGTGTCACTGTCTTGGGGGCACTTGGATAGTTGATATCCTCCCTCTCCTCTGGGCCGCTGTTCCTCACTTATTGCCCCCAACCCCAGAACAATGGACTGGTCTGAGCCAAGGGTGAGTCAGCGTGCAGGCTGCCTCCGTCTGGGTGTAAATAGGAAAGGGTGTGGGTCAGGGTGGGAACTTGGGGGGGCGGGGTAGCCCTAGGGAGAGCCTGGCTGAAATGGCTCTGCTCTCCACTTCTGCGAGGATCCCTTCCAGCTCAGGGAGGCTGGGATTTCCCACCCTTTGTGGTTCCCAACTGGGGTCCACAAGGGCTTTGGGGGGCTCGGTTAGCCCCTGAAGGAGTGTCCAATAATGACAGCTGGTGCTTACAAAATACCAAGTGTTAGGCACTATTCTAAGCACTTTGTATATATTTGTGCACTTCAAGTAGGAGGTAGGCAATATTATTATTCTCAATTTACTGCTAAAGACACTGAGGCACAGAGAAGGTTTGGGATCTGTCCAAGTTCACTCAGCCAGTAGTGAAAATTCAGGGTTTCGAACCCAGCTGTCTGGGTTCAGAGTCTGGGCTTTTAACCACTGAGCTACCCTGTGCTCAAGCTGGGGTGTGCGGACTCTTGTGTGTGTTTGTGTGTGTGTTGGGAGAAAAGCATAAGAGGACTCCATTTTTGCTACTGTATTTTTGATAGTAAAAAAGAATATGTACTGATTTATTAAGTAATCACTTAAGATTTTGTACTTCAAGGCAATATGTTATAAATAAATTTTTTTTTTAAAGTGTGTGTGTTCTGTGCTTTTCTTCTGGGGACAGAGCTTCAGGCAAACGCTCAAAATCAGAAGGAGTTTGGAATCACTACGGTGTTTGAGTGGATGGACGGAAGTCTGTGTATGTGGCTTTGGGCAGCTGCCTCCTTCTTTCTGGATCTCAGTTTCTCCATGTATGATCTGGAAGGATAGAGTCTGGGGCTTGGTGTTTCCTGTACCAAGGAGGGGACACCCTTAGTGCTCTGCCTCTCCCTTGGGGTTAAGGGTCAGGTAGGTTTTTGTTTCATGTAGTAGACACAAGTGCAGTGTGTGTGTGCGTGCGCACGTGTGTGTGTCCATCTGTCTGTGGGTTTCACCATTGTCATTTCTCATTGTTCTGTATGCTTCAGTCACAGTGAACAAACTCCCCCTCCAGCCTTTGAAGATGCTAGTTCATCTTTCCGGAGTACTCTTCCCTGCTTTTATCTAGCTCACTCTTACTTATTGTTCCGGGCCTCTCCTCCAGGAAGCACTCCCTGACCTTCCCAGGCTGGGTCAGGTGCCCCGTCCGGGCTGCCACCATCCTCTCGGCTTCCCCGTCCTAGCCCTGACCACGCTGGGTCATTGCTGGTGTTCAGTCTGCCTTCCCTACTGGGCTGTGAGATATATGAGGGAAAGGGGCTGTGAGATCTATGTCCTCATCTCTATCCATAGAATAGGTGCTCAGAGAATGCAGGTTGAATAAATGAATGAAAGGGTGTTAGTTAGCCAGGAGCAGAAGGAAATACGCTCTTCGTTTCAAGCAGTAGCATCTTCATTTCTTGTGTTCCTGTGGGTCCTGGGAAGTCCTAGGGGCAGGACTAGGATGTAGGGGGCCGTGTCCCGAATCTCTGAGCTGCACAAGCCATATGATCTGGAAATCCCATGTCAGCAGTGGGGGTTGTGGTGCTGGATGCCCGTCCTGGGGCTGGGGAGAGATGCTGGCTCACGTTGCTTGTTTGAATAGTATTTGACCCAAGAAAGCCAATGACTGTCCCATCCTCTGGGGTTCTCAGCTGCCTGGCCTATGGGGTGTGTCACTGAGTTGGGAGGAGAGGATGTGTCTCATGTCACAGAATGTGATCCAGGCATAAGGAACCAAGTGTCCTTGGATAAATGCCCCAAGCAGAGGTCTTATCCGTATCTTGTAGCCTAGGGGGCATGTGAGGGAAACTGGGCCAGGGTGGAAGAGGAAAGTGGGGTTGGGGGCTGTGCCTGGTTCCCTGGACGCTTCTCTAAACCTCTTGCCAAAGCTGCTTAGTGAGATGGGAGGCAGGGCAGGTGGAGGGAGGAGGGAGAGAGAGAGAGAATATGAATGTGTCCTGACCCTGGGCTCCAGCTCTGGTGTTTGACCTAAAAAATCCAAGGGGATTAAGGATGAACTAGAATCAGCTCTGGACCAAAGATGCAATTCTGGGGGCCTTCCCTGGGGGCCATCCTTAGATGTCGAAGCCCAGGCATTGGTCTTGGGAGGGGAAGATGGATGGGGTGACAGATAATGCAGGGAGCAGTAGAGAGGGAGTGGAGGGGTCTTGGAAATGTTATGGTTGTAGGGAGAAAGAGAGCTGGGGGAAAGGCAGAAAAAGGGCTGGGTTTGGAGGAAGGAAGGAAAAACATGTGGGGGCTGAGACTGGGAAGGAAACATGAAGGGAGAGGTGGGTGAGAGGGGCAATCCAGCAGATCGTTGAGGTGCTCCTGAATATTGTTGAGTGGATGACTGACCAGAGAGAGTTCAGGAGCAAGAGAAAGAAAAACACAAGATTATGAGAGGTGGAGGGCAAGGAAAAGATGGGGCCAGGGGCGGGAAGACAAGAAGGGGAGGACAGAGCAGGGAGGGAGGGAGGAGGAAAAGCAGAGACGGACAGGACAGATGGATGGGGACAAGGGATGGGGGACATCCAAACGGAATCAGAGAGATAGAAGCAAAAAAGAGGAGCCAGAGAGAGGTGGATGGGGATGGAGACTCAGGGAACAAGAGATGGGAAAGTCAGAAACAGAATGAGAGAGACGTAGGAAGAATGACACAGACAGAGAAAACCAGCGAGACTCAAACTGGGCAAGATGGGGTAACAGAGAAATCCAAAGGGAAAGAGTGGGGGGAAAGAAGTGTGTGTGTGGGGGGAGTGTGCAACATGCTGGCCGGCCCCCCAACCCCAAGGGACACCCTGACACCTGCCTCCCTGCCCACCCTCCTCCAGCAACTCTAACTGACCCAAAGAGGCAGGTGTGTGGGAAGGGGCACATCTGCCAGCACATCATGCAAATGAGCTCATGAATATGCAGCAGGCCCATTGTCTTGCCCTGCCCCCACCCCCATCTGCTCAGGCGTGGCCCCTGGGGCTGAGGGCAGCTCTGTCCTCTTAGGAGGAGGGGAGGCCCCCCCCATCACTATGACTGCCCCAAGGGCAGCTCTTCTTCCCCCTTATCCAGGGCCCAGGTGGGAGGGACAGGAGGCCAAGGGCAGAGTCCTGGGCCAGGGCTCACCCGGATAGAAGTCTTTGGACTTAGAGAGCTTGATGGTGGCTCCTGTCTCCTTCTGCAGCTGCACGATGGTCTGCCCGCCCTTGCCAATGATGGAGCCTGCCGCGTAGCTGGGGATCAGCACCTTCAGGAAGTATTCGCCTTCCTCTGCAGGGGCACATGGGTAGGGGAGGTAAGGGAGGCAGGGGAAGGGGTCTTCACCTTCGGCATAATGTGGGCAAAGGAAGCCACCGGCATCACGGGAACATACAGGAGCAATGGCCAGGAGAACAGCAGCAGGGAGAATAATACAAATAATGATCTTTATTCATTCACTTGCTCATTCATTCATTCATTCATTCCACGAATAGTTACCGAGCACCTGCTGCCACACGCTTGGCACTGTTTTAGTGAAACAGCCGTGAGGAAAACAGACAAACTCCCTGATTTCACAGGCAAATGAGGCAAATAAGGCCGAGAGAGTTTCAGTGATTCAGCCAAGAGCTCACACAGCTACATTCTTCTAGAGTGGGGGAGACAGACAGTATGTTTTATGTTGGATGGCGGTCAGCACCAAGAAAACAAAAAGGGGCAGGAGAAGGGAAGGGGGATTGTAGGGGCTGCAGTGTCAGATCCGGTGGCCAGGAAAGCCCTCCCCAAGAATGCGGTATCCTTTGTTTAACAAACACTTCTACAGAACCTAGTATACACTAGACTCTGTTCCAAGTACTACACAAATACTAGTTCTTTTAATTTTTCACACTGATGCTGTGAAAGAAGTACTTTGCAACCTGGCTTCAGAGTCCAGGCTCTAGACCCTTATGACTGATTGTTTCCAGGCTGTGGAGGTGGGAATGGAACCATGTGGCTCTGTGGGAGAGCAAGTGCAAAGGCCCTGGGATGGGATTGTGCCTGAGTTGTCTGAGGGAAGGTGAGGTAGCCAGTGTAGCTGGGGCTGAGGAAGAGAGGTGAAGAGTGGAAGGGGATGAGGGCTGGGAGGGGTGGTGGTAGTGGTGGGGCCATGGTGAGATCTTTGATTTTTACTCCAAGTGAGATGGGAACCATGGGAACCAGAGATGGCTCTGAGCAGAGGAGGGATGGGATCTGACTTAGGTTTCCAGAAGATCCCTCAACACTCAATATGGACCCTGTACTGTGATGAGTGCTTTGCAAGCTTGACCTCAACCATTCCCTACAACTCCCAATGAGGGGGGTATAATGAGCTCCATTTTTCCGTGGGAGGAAACTGAGGCATGGAAGTGTTGAAGGCACCAGCCCAAGGTCAGCTGCCCAAGGGCACCAAAAAAGTCACTGGCTTGAGATTCCGATGCAATTCTGCTTCATTCTTGGCCCTCACTTGCTTAGCACCTTCCGATGCTGGTGGCCGAAGACCAATGCACTCAAAGACAGTCTCCAAGACCCAGGGGTGGCGAGGTGGTGCCAGTGGTCACTTGTGGGACTGTGGCCATTCTTTGTTATGGACCAATTTTCTTGGTCATGTGTAAAGCGCTTTGTTAATGCACTCAAGGCACATGCTTAACCTCTCCTACCTTTTAACCCAACTGTTGTCCCTAAGTTCTCATAGGGTAGAAATTCTGGAGCCTTCTCAGCATAAAACCCTCTGTGATTTGGCCCTGCACTTCTTTCCAGCTTCACGCCCTCATCTTCCTCCACGTGCATCAGACCTACTTCCTCTTTGTTCCTTAAACGTTCCCTCCTCCCACCCACCTCAGGGCCTTTGCGCGTTCCTTTTGCTTGGAACTCCCCTCCCCCAGTGAATTCCTCTTGTCCTTCAGGTCTCCACTCAAATGTTGCTTCTTCTTGGAAGCTTTCTTTGAACGCTGGGGAGGAGATGGATCCCCTCCCGTTCGTTTCGTGCCTTCAGAGCAATGTATCACATTAGTCCACTGGAGCTCACCCCTGTGTCCCAGGGACTCATGCCATGGCCCAGCACACAGTAGGCATGCAATAAACACTAGATAAAGGAAAGGAGGAGCCAGGTCACTCTGCTTCCAAAGCTTAAGGTCTTAAAACATCCCCCAGTGGTTTTTAAATTTTTTTCTTTTTAAGCAAAGGAAGCCTATTTTCAATGTCTCACATGAAACTCCAACACACAGAGCAGATAAAAGAGAAACTGTTCTGGTAAAAGTGGGGGCAGGGCGGGGGGACCGGGAGCCCTGCCCATGTCTGCCTGATCTCTTAAGATTGAAGGTTCTGGGCTCCCTGATGTGTTAAGATGGGGGTACAGGGGCGAGGGGCTGGATGTGGCTTCGCAGGCATGGGGAGGGGGTCCAGGATGAAGGGGTTGTCCTGAGCCCAAGGCAATCCACTTAAACTTGCCTCATCAGACCGTTAAACCTATTAGGTAATTAGCCCCCCAGAGTGCCTTCCCATCAATCATCCTGACCCCCCTGAATTCACTTTCTTCCCTGGGTTCGCAGAGGCAGCCTCTTCCCTGCCCCCGCCCCGTCCCTAAACCTGTCACAGAGATGGGGGACCAGTCCTCCATCCCTGAAAGGCTCAGAAAGATGGGGAGGGCATTCTCACAAAGGACTCCATCCTCTTTTTCCTTCTTTGACTTCAATCCCTATTTTCTCTCCAGCCAGGGCCTCTTCCCCAACTTCCTTCTTGAAGGTAGAAGGTGTTCATCTACTCTGAAGAAAACTGGGTATACCCCCCACCCCATTTTCTGTGCCCTCTGCCTTCCCCTTCTCCAGGAATCTCTGTATGCAACAGCAGAAACAGCCTTAGACTGAGTGTGAATTTTGTCCCTGACGGACCACGGGGCCTTGGGCAAACCACCTCACCTAATGGGGCCTAAGTGTTCTCATCGGCACAATGGGGACGTGATGGCATTACCTCAGAGGGCTATGGTAATTAATTAAGTGATAAACCGTAAAATACTTAAGACGGTCTCGGGCACGTGGAGCACTTGAGAAATGTTAGCTATCATTACCTCCACCATCATCATGACCATTACTGATGTCAGGAACACAAGGAAAGTTCTTCTCACAGCGTCTGGCCCAGGGTAAGTGCTCTACAAATGGGGAGACGAGCCTCTGAGGTCTGAGGTTTTCATTGAGCGATGGGAGAGGGAGGGGAGACCCCACTTCCTTCATCATTTGCCCCCTAGGGGCTGTCCCAGGCCTTTCTCTGTTTCTGGGAGGAGGAATGAGCTCTCGCTGATGGAAGCAAGACCCTGCCCAGCATCTCTCTGACTCCCTTCCTTCTCATGCCACTTCTTGACTTTGCCCTCGATGTATCCCCTCGGTACTGTTTCCTTCCTTCTCTCCCCCTTCTCTCCCTTCCTCCAACAAATCCTCCCTGAGCACCCACTCTGTGCCAGGCCTTGTTTGAGTTGCTGGTGACACAGCAGGGAACAGACAGTCCATTTCCTTCAAGTCCACTCACTTTTAAAATTTAAATGCATCTCTTTAAAGAGGACACTTAAAAACCACTGCTAATAATCAGAGTCTGAAGCCTGGTTATGTTTTCCCCTCCAGAGCACAGAATATAAACGTACAATGGTAAAAAAAAAAAAAAAAAAAAAAAAAGTTTGTCCATGGACCCCCTTAAGCCACCTTCTGGGTGCTCGAGGGTCCCTGTATCAGATGAATGTAAATTGGGAGCCTTCACCTGAAGCCAGCCTCCTATGGAGAATGACTCCCACCTGCAGAAGCTCAGAACTCAGGGCAAGAGTCCCCACTATGGCCAACAGACCCCTCTGACCCTCTTCAGAATCTTCTGCATGTCTTTCCCATTTGGGAGCACTCGTCCCCCACCTTTAACGCCCTGTGTGAGTCCCACGTCCCCCAGGAAAAAGCCAGGCCTCTGTTTCCCAGCCTGCTTTGCAGCAAGGGGGGAGACACATACCCTCAGCTGAACCCAGAGCCCCCAGACCTCACATGCTCCCACCCAGTTTGAACAACCAAGTCTCTGCCTGTGAAAAAGTTCTTCCTTCTACTGAATAGGATCTAAATGCTCCAGAACTCCACACCCACCTATCTCCACCCCCCTCTTAGCTTTTCCCCTGGGGTTCAGGAAGCTCCCTTTACCCTTGACCGTGACTGGAGAACTAGAGATGCCCACTTCTCTCCTGCTGGTTTTCCTCCTGCTACAACGTCAAGCATTCCCTCCCTCTTCTAGTCCCCCCCCCCCACCACCTCCCTGTTGTGCCCACTTTCTTCAGAAATGCTTCTGGAGTTTCCAAAGAGCAACCAATACCCCTTAAATAATGGAGACCTACCCAAGAGATTTGGGGTGCTGTGTGGTAAGAGCCACACTTTTTATCACAGAGTTGACCCTGATAGGTGGTTTTAAAGGTGGGGGGATGTCATTAAGGACAAAGGTAGAGCTGAAGGGGTGGGGGTGTTGTAGGGGTGTTTTCAGTGACAGGAGATCTAGGGGGAACCAGAGTTGGGGTGCCGTGCTCCTGGGACCTGCTCTGGCTTGCGGGTTGGGGACGGAGGTGTTTGTGTGTTCCGCGGAGGTGTGAGGCGGCAGGGGTGTGATGTTGACATTGTCGTGGGAGCGTGTGGGGATGTGGCTGGCGGAAGACGAGAGCACACGGGCGGGGTGCGGTGCGGGGAGCAGCACCGCTCGGGAGGGCAGGGCCGGCAGGTGTGTGAAGCGGTCTCTGTGAATGACGGTGTTGCCCGTTGGCGCGAGAAATGCAATCCAGCCGAAGCTGGGGGGGACAGCATGCCCAAGGTGTGATGCCGTCTTCCAGCTGTGACACTGTCTCTGAGTGAGAGAAAGGTGGATGGGTAGGATTTCCTCGGGGCGAAGCGCCGCGGGATGGTGCAACAGGCCTCCCATGACATTCTGGGTCGGAGGCACGGATAACAGTAGTAACGACAGCTGTCGTGTATTGACGCTTTGCTGTGTCCTTCATATATACAATCTCATTTAACCCACACACCAGCCAGGCTTACATCTCGCAGCTCCCATTTTCCAGATGAGACTGAGGTCCCACACCAAGCCCATGGCAGTGAGGAGATGGATCCTGGAAGGTCTCACTCTCGGGGCTCTTAACCCTGGTGACATTGTCTTTATGGGAAGCAGGGAGGATGCTGGGAGCGAGACTTGGCGGCTGGAAGCTCGAGGCAGGGCGGGGGGCGGTGGTCGGTGACATGTGCGTGTGTATGTGGGGAGGGAAGTTGCTGTTTCTGTTCATGCGGGGGTGACAGAGGTGGGAATACAGTCAGGAGTATGACATGATAGTGGCACCTTAGGAGTTTCATCTGTACTCAAGGGCGGTGGGGGGGGGCATCGTTTGGTATTGATCCGCCCAGACTATAGTCGTTTGTCTCTCTGATGAGTGAGTTCCTAACCCGAGTTTCCATTCAACTTCTTCACCCGAGTCCTCCTGTCCTTAGGTGCCTTGTGTCCCTCCCAATGGCGTCTGGCAGTCATAGTGCCCAGACATCAGTTGGAACAGCCACGATCTCCTCTCTGAGCCCCCGAGAATGGGCAGGAGTGGTAGGCAGGCTGGCGCTGAGGGCAAGAGCTCGATCTGCCCGGTCCGCCACGGCTTCTGTGACACCCCAGAAGACTCCCTCGACCCTCTGGGCCTCGGTCTCCTCACCCAAAAATGGGGTTCACTATAGCGTCTACCCACATAATGGAGCCAGCCTCCCGGATTCAAATCCCAACTCTGCCTCTAATTAGCTGACAGACCTTGGGCAAGTTACTTAACCTCTCTGTGCCTCGGTTTGTCATCTGTTAAGAAGGGTAACATAAAAGAATTGGAAGGATTACATGATTGGTCTGTGCCAAGCATTTTCCATAATACTTCCTGGTATACTGCAGGCCATAGATATTAGCCATTATTATAATTTATTATGGTTAATTATTACATCATAGAGTGTTGGAGAATTACACGAAATATTGCCTATAAAGCAGTGAGCAATAATATTGGTAGTGGTTATTACTATTATCCTTGTAGTTATTGTGATTTTCCCACCTGACAGATGGTGACTCTTGAGGCTCAAGAAAGGGGTGAGGTTGACCCAGCATCCCCCAGTCATGACAGTATTATTGCAAGGAGCCCTCAGTTTTGAGATGAAAGTCCTGGATCCTTGCCCAATGCTGCCTCCTGAGTGTTTCTGTAAACGGAGGACTGTCCCTTTGCATCTCCAGGCCTCGGTTTCCCCACAGGTCACCAGGAGGGGAGGTGGAAGAGTCTGGAGGAGAGGGTCCCTAAGGGCTCATCCTAGTTTTCCCCGCTGCTGAGAGAGGCAGGATGCTCAGTAGCTAAACACATGAGCTCTGAAGCCAGACGGCCCAGGGTTGGATAGATCCCAGCTCCACCAACTTATGAGCTGTGTGACTTTGGGCAAGTGGTTTCATTTTGCTGAGCCTGTTTTCCTCATGTGAAAAAGCAGCTCAAATCATCTCCCCCAGAGGGCTGTATTAGGAAATTAACCCATATCTCAGAGCCTGACTTCTAGTAGATGCCAAGTACTTGGGCCTGACCGTCCTTGGCAGCATCTCTATTGTTAGGTTGTGCTCAGAGCAATTAGATTTGGAGCACCTCAGCCCCTTTAAAAGAAGGATGAGACACACACCCCCCCCAAGCAGGGGCAGGGCCGGGCTGCCAGGTCAGGCTCAGGGACCGCCTGGGTCCCCGCCTGGGTCCCCGACTCTCTCCAGGACTGGGAATGGCAGTGGAGCAGGAAGAAGGGAAGGAAGTTGGCTGGGACATATTCATGTGTGTGCTGGGGGTGGGGGGAGCAGGAAGAAGGACAGGAAACTCCCTCCCACCCCTCCCCCAACTTCCCTTTCCTTCAATTTCTGCTGGACACACTCTCACAGGCAGCCAGGGGGTCCCTGATTCCTGTCCCACCTGGACAGGAGTTGGGGGGGGTGGCGCTGGAATGAAGGAATGAGACTTGGCTTGTGTTCCATCGAGGGGAAGAGATGGGAGGTCTCCACCCCACCCACTACAGAGCCTGGTGGAATGGGGAGCATGCACTGTGCCCCAGGTCATCCCTCTCCCATCCGGAGGAAAAGGCCAGAGGAAGCAGATTTTGGCCAAGGTGATAGCAGGGAGGGGTTTGTCTGCTCTGGGGTCTCCCTCCATCCAGGGAGTTAATAGGCTGGGCTCTGAGACTGAGAATCCCTTCCTCTTTCCTGAGTCCCTGGCCAGAGAGACACCCACTAGAGTTTCCAGCTTGTCTTTTATTCTCTGGTACACATACCTCCTCAGGCCACACACACAGTGGGGGCCCTCCTGTCTTACACGAGCATACCTTCTGTGTTGTCAAACACTCAGACATCACACACACACACACACACACACACACACACACACGATCCCTTGTCTCTCACACACGCAGAATCACTCCCACATCTCTAGTGGTACATACTCAACCATTTCACACACACCCCCTCCCCTTGTTACAGATATATATATACACACACACCCCTTCCCTTTTCCTACCCCTTGGGTGTCATATACACACATTCCCTGTTCCCTGTCACACGGGCACCCATCCTTCCCTCTCCCGGTTACACACCCTCGTGCAGCTCACCCACAGAGCCCTAAGCTCTCCCGTCATACACCCACCTTCCCTTGTTGCACACGCCCCCTCTGATGTCACTGTCGCACACCTCCATGTGTCACACCCAGCCACAGCCTCTTTGGAGTCACACCCACACCCTTTTCTTGTCACATACCCTCACCGGCTTCTCCTGGTCCCACCCCACCCCAGATACCCCTGTGTCACACACACTGAACTGCCTTCCTTGATCCACACAGCCTCTCCTGGCTCACACCCAGAGCTGGCCCATTCAGCTTCCCCCACACACCCCCTTGCATGTCACACACACCCTCTCACTCATGTGTCACACTGCCACAGCCCCCTCTAGGGTGACAAGCACACACTTTCCCTTGCCACACGTACCCCTTTGAGGGTCTCAAACACACAGCCGAGCCCCTCATCTCATTCTGTCTCTTACACACACGCACACACACACACACACCTTTCCTCTCATATCCATGATCCCTAATGTCACACATCCAGGCCTTACAGGGCCAACACGCGCACATACACACAAACACACACACACCTCTCCCAGCCACACATTCTCCCACCTAGCTTTACACACCCACCCATTCCTCCATCTCACCCAACACACCCACCCAGCTTGTCCCCACGCACGATCTCACCCATGGCCCACTCATGCCTCCCTCTGGGACAACCCTTGCTCAGGACATCCCCAGGGAGGGAGGCTGGGAAGCTCCAGGTCCACAGGCCTCCTCTTCTCCTTCCCCTCCCCCCCGCCAGGACACGCCAGCCCGGGAACACCCCTGCCCCGAAAGGGTCACATCACACACCCCTCAAGGACACAGAGACGCCCGCCCAGAGGGACCCACGCCCCCCATCCTTTGCGCCCCCCAAGGACACTTACCACCTCCCCCCCCCCATCCCCTCTCATCGCAGACAAAGCTCCCAGCCCCGGGCGGCGGCGAGAGGGGGAGGGGGTCCGGCCCCCTCCCCAACGCCCCTCTCAGCTCCCGGGTCGAGGGAGGGGCGCCCTTCCCCGCCCCGGAGCCCTTGCACCTGCCACGGCGGGGGGAGGAGGATGGAGAAAGGCGAGGCCCCCTGCCCGCTCCCCCACACCGAGCCGCAACCCTTTCTCACCTCCCGTGTTGCTGCGCTTGGTGCAGACCACCTCGGGGGGCGTTTCGAGGGGCCTCTTGCGGGAATCCGGGGCCTCGGGCTCCATGGGGGGGGCCTGGGGCGGCGGC